GAGTACATGTTTAGTTTCAACAATTTCTTGTCGTTGTTATTGCTTATCATATGCTATCATTATGTTTACCAGTATTGCTATTTGATATTCTCATGCGAACAGTCGTTTGTGGGGGAGCTGTTATTTGGATTTGGCTCCCAGATTTTCAGGGGTTTAGTTGCCAATAGAGAAAAACCCGATGGAAAAGAACATGGACATGGAAGGATTGGGGCTGGAAGATTTGGGTTTGGAGTTGAGGGATGTGCTTTGGGCAAGGGTCTAATGCTCAAGGTTTACTAGATGGAAGGAGGAACATAAAACAAATTGTCATGTTCAAAGCTGCAAGTAACAAAAGAATCATTAGGCACTGCTTCTAATTTCCATTTGTAAGCACTTGCCATACTCTGGAGGCTGAAGATTGCGATGTAAAGCCAGCTAAAGCCACCCAGAACCCTCCTGAGCAACTGTATGGAACTTCGTTTAGACTCTCAGAACGAGACTGTATCAGCCCTTTCAAGACGACTAAGACAGACTGCAGTCAAAACGTGTGAAAATTCCTCCTAGAAACTTTGACAGGTCGTACAAAAAAACGAAACCTTCATTACAGGAGGCCCTTATGGCTTTTGTCCTGAGCCTTGAATACTGCTCATCTGAACCTTCCGGCCTCCTCAGACTTCAGATAGCCCTGGTAGGGCTTGGTCCCATTCACCTCCTCACCCAAGGTTCAGTGATCGTGGTCGTGGCTGAAGGGCATCAGGCGGTTTGCTTTTTACAGACTCGCGCCAGACTCGATTTAACCACCAGGTACTTGGCAAGGCGGTCATGAGAAAGCCCCTATGGCCCACTACTAACCAAGTGGAGTGTCTGTTCTTCTGGCCTTCCCCCCATAGCCCATGCAGTTTTGTTGACTCAAGACTCTAGTTGAACTGTCCTGACTGACTATGATTGAAACCCCGCCACACCCACGCTTACGTACTACCTCACGGCCGCCGCGGTTCCTTCTCCTTCTACTCCTCCTCCTCCTGCTGCNNNNACCACCACCACCACCACGACTACTGTCTTTACTGCGACCACTTCTTGTACTGTGTACTTCTTCTACCTGTACCGTTCCTGGAGAATCTACTTGCACAGTCTGTTCGAAGATGGGGTCCCACCGTGATCTGTCCTCCTCCGAGGATTCTTCTGCAATGGTTGATGCGCCAGAGAAGTTGCAAAGGAGGAGACCTCAGTGCTTGTCTCCCTGATGCTTGGCAGCGCAGAGGAGAATAGGCAATAGGCAGTACTTATGAATGATTAGATAGGGACTCTGCATTGATCCCACATTTGCTACTATGCATGGGGATTGGGGGGTTCTTCTAGTTCACTCCGGCTCTCCGAAGGTCAATGAGAAGAGCGATTACCACAGGCTCCCAAGTTAGACTTCCATGACGATAGTTTGAAGAAACTCTACAATGGGGGTCCTACAGGCCCCCGTTCATGGCTATCCTGGGGAAAATTCCACTTTGGGAAACTCCCGATTTCCTGCCAAGATGCGCTCTAGGATGCCGGTAGCTGCCTGCATTTTGCGTCATTGCCCACCACGTGGGGTTATAAGCGAGAACGATACATTAGGGTCGCCAGGGTTAGAGTCTCCAGAGTTTAGGGTTTATGGCTTTTGGGGAGGTTCATGGGCAATAGGGTTGCAAGTAAGGTAGCTGCAATTGCAATTACAACCCAAGCTGCAGTACTGATAATGCTGCCGGTGATGACTCTTGGTTATAGGAGCTATAGTCTGAACTCCTAATAGTAACCCCTGTAATACTCCTCGATATAATCCCTTCTATCATATAACCCCCTTTGCGGAGTTTAGACTATAGCTCATATGCAGCCTAGAAGTTGATCTTCAGGCTCTAAAAACTGGGCTTGCTGTGTAGATGGAACAACTCGGATAGAATTCTTTGGGATCTTATTGAACTAGGGGCACTGTTGCAAGGATATGCAAGGCATACAGGGGTATCCTGGGGTCCCTATCAATGATTCTGTATGGGTCAACGCCAAATTACACACACACGTTTCTCAGAAGGATCTGGGCATACACAATGCTTGGACACACAGCGCAATCGATGGTGAACGTCTTGTGGTGTCATGCGGGGATGTCTGTCAAGCTGAATCCCTGACCTCAAGTCCTGAACCCCAAAAAGGTCGGGGCTGTAGAGCATGAGTCGAGACCTCTCACCTCTTGCAAGCCCGGACGTGACTTTCCATCAAAATCGGTGTGCACTTATTTGAGATCCACACAAAAAGAAGCTCAGAAGATGGACCCGCAATTAAAACCCAAGGCTCCCGCCAAAAAAAAGGCACAGGAACAAGTGCTACGTATTAGGGGCAGGGCTTGAGGATTTTTGGATTTCACACTTAGGCAGCAAGATTTAGGGGTTCAGGCTCGGCTTCATGCTGCATGAGTTGACACCTGGCAACTAACGCTGCTTCTATGCATGCCAAGCGTATCCTGTTCAGCCTAGCCGCGTGTAGAGGGAGAACGTAGGAAGCTCGCAAGGAGTAGCCTTGTTTTGCGACTAGGACAAATAGCAACGGGGCATGCAATTCAAGGACATGCATGCCTGGAGGAAAGATCGTGCACAGGTGAACACTTCCGTTCATCTTTCTTGGGCGCAGGCCTGCAAGTCAGGAGGCTGCGGCACATGGCACAAAGGAGGGCATTTTTTGCGACACTCTTCAATTCTCCTCGGCCCTTCAAAACCTGCAAAAGCAAACCGAAGTTCCTTACAAATGAGAATAATTGACCAACCTCAAGCGTTCCTTCTGCACACAGAGCAGCTCTGGATTGCTGGCCGCTCCCCGTTCACAGGGCGCCCGCCGCGGGTCAGGAACCTCAGCGGATTCGCTGCCGCCGCCCGTCAGCTCATCTCTATAGTGATGTTAATCGCACATGTTTGATCACGAAGCCGTACAAGAACTGCAGGAAAGTTGAAGAGTGAGAGTCGAGAGGAAAAGCACACTAGTGACAGAGGATCTGCACCAGTCCAACGCTGCGGGCTCAAACCGCACAAAAAGCACCGAATCCTGAACTCTAAAGCTTCATTTCCAGTCCCCAAATCCTCAACAGTAAACCCCTACACCCGAAACAACCCTAAACCCCTGGAGACGTTGCAGCTGGAGGGGCGCGCGGACCGCCAGCCTGCGGCCAGCAAAGGCGTCCGGTATTCGCCGGGCGCACTCGACCTTGGAAGACTTACAGGTGATGGCGGCTACTAGGGAACGTGAACGACTTTAGGGTTCTAGGGATTCCTGTAGTAGTACAACTAATACTTTCCTGCTCTTCAAGGCCTTTTCAAGTTCGGGACGGTCCAAGCCTGAACGTTGGACCCCAACGCAAGCTCGAAGCCCGATCCCTCAACCCCGCAGCCAAAACCCCGCGGCAAGACCCTAATCCAAAAAAACAATCCCAAAACCTAGCCCAGTTCTGCGGCGCGACGGTCACCAGCACCAGCGAGCCGAGCTTGACGTCGAAGGCAGCACGCTGCCGCGACAGCGGGTGGAAGATGGCAGAAAGCAAGATCCTCAACTGCATACTTCAGTGCTGGGAGTTTTTGATTGTTAGCAAATGCTTGCGACCATCCTCTCTGGCACCGGCGCCGCTAGGTCCTAGACCTGGTGATGGTGTCGTGGTGATGGTCGGGATGGTGGTAGTCGAATGGTGGTCGTGGCGGTGGTGGCAAAAGTAGGGGTGGCAGCCATGCAAGCGGTAACGGTGGCTGGGCAGCGGCAGTGGTGGCGCGGCTGCAGTGTACTAGAATATCTGCGGTAAACATGGTACAAGCTTCCGTAATCACCAAAGACGCCAACCAAAATCTTCGTGCACAGCAAGCCCATGACTCTTCCCCACGATCCTGCGCTAAAGTTCCCTGGAGTCGGGGAGGATCAGGCTCCAACCTACATGCAAACTCATTACTAGCAGCTGTTACCACACTACGGCAGTTTACTCTGCATTCGTTGTTTCGCCCATCGTTCCGAATGCGGTATCAGCTGCTCTTTCACAACTGTTGCTGCTCTCCTACCCTTCTCCAAAACTTCTCAAACTTGCTTCCAAGGAGCTGCGGGCTAGGTCCCGGATGCACACTGGTGGCAGAAGCCTGGTCTACCAGAGAGCTGCAACGAAACTTCTTCAGGTCACTGACTTTACGACCCTGGGCGGAAGACTGAGATACGGAGGCAAGAAGGGAAGGTGCTGCAAGAAATTCTCCCTTGACTTGAGGGGCCCCTCACATGGGATACGAAGCTCGTGGAGACAAGCATCGATCCGCTTAAGGATCTCCGACGCCTGTAGCTTCTCGAATTTAAGCAAGCTTACAAGAAGGATATTGTCCGCACCATAAAGATGCCTGGGCCCCACATGTTCTGCTTTTGGACGCGCATGCGGGATAAAAAAAATGCGGAGAGGAATTCACAACCCCTTTTTCAGTTGCCATGGAAGCCTCTGAGGTGTTGATCCGGTCTGTTTACCAGATCCGGCAATAATAGGAGTTTCAAGCTCAAGTGGCTGTGACTTATGTATGGTAACGGGGCCAGCATACTGCCCACGTCTGGATCTACTCCAAGCATTCAGCGCTGAAAGCCCGAGCTCCACTGCCCCCAAAACTCTCAGACCCAAACCTTCTGGCTGGTCGATCCAGAACCGTTTCAAAACCTAAAGCTGAGCTGATTGGCAAATATGGTTTGAATAAACCACCATTTGGGATCCGGCCTGGTGAGGTCATCTTGAAATTTCCCAGTTAGGGTAGACCCTAATCTTACTGGGGTTAGTAGGGAACAAGTACATATATTAGACGAGGATCATATAGGGATTGTATTCCCTTGTTCCTACTACACCACCAGTAAGTAGTAGACCCCCAATATATCCTCCTTATCCCTTAATTTTGCTAAACCCTCTACCCCTGTATACCCTCTTTACACCTATATACCCCTACCTAACCCCCTATATACCCCTATATACCCCCTATATGACCGCTTGGCCTGGAGCGCCCAGCCAGGAACATGTTGGTATTTGCTCCGCTCCACCAACTCCGGCAACTGCACGGCCTGGCCAAGCTCTGACTTGCAGAAACTTGCTGATACTTAAGTGGGGCGTTGGATAACAACATAGGTACAACTATGGTTGGGGAGCATGTATATATCTATATATATATTATGAATAAATATATATTTTTATGCGTGTGTCTGTGTGTGTGTGTGTGTTGGGAGCATTCAGGTAGTGGACTATATAAGAAGTAGCTCCAAAGCGACAGGATCCTGACGCTGGGGAATCAAAAACCATGTTGGCCATGCAACAACTTAAACTCAAAGGGTCGATGTGATCAGGATAGAACCCACAGCAGAGGTCACCGAAACACTGGCCTTCACTTGCCCGGTCTGCCGATCGTTGCTGAAGGTGTGGCACTCATGAAGAGCAATCCGCAACTCCTGGAGCAGTGGGACAGAATAGCAATCTGCTATGGCTGCAAGAGGTAGCTTGTAAGAGAGAACTTTGAGAATTCGGCACTCGTTGACAGCTTGCGACTCCCCGTCCACCCTGAACTACGGGTCCTGGCTCCCAAATGCATCCACGACGAATGTGGGCTGCTCGTCCCAGATCAAATCGCCGTCCTCGCCTTAAAGCTGTGGCCATTGGGGTTGCTTCCGGGCGCCTGTCTGAAAAAAACATCCAGTTCGTAGATGTCTTTTGAGGTCTGTTTGAGACTCAGGCATGTGAGCAAAGCTTTCACCAACATGTCTGCTTACCCTTATGAGGCTTATAAGCCCATTCCCCACCATGGAGGGAATGGGTTAGCCAGCCTACCATGGGAACTGCATACTGTTCAGCGGCAAATGTTTAGATCCATTCCTGTAGTCCGAACCAGGCATGAATAAGATTTAGGGTGTAGGCGTAGGGTTTTCGGTTTAGGGATAAGATGCCTTAAGGCAAGGCGCAGCGAGCGGCTGCTGATCTCCATGTGGCCGCGCCCAAAGACAAACCTAAAACAGCTCTGTTTTGCGTAGTTCTGAAAACCCCAACCCCCGCCTATATCCCCCGTATGATATGACCCGATCAGAAATGCCATGCTTGGAGAAACCTGCATCTGCAGCTAAGTCAGACATCAAATCTCTTGCATTCTCTTGCTATAAAAAAACAACATGCACTCAAGTTCTGACAGATCAGCATCCTTAGCACATTGGGGCCCGTGCAGCAGCGAACGGCCCGCTCAGCGCCAAAGCTGTTTCGCTCGGCAGCAACCTAGTTCACAGAAGAAGCCGCCGGCTTGCGTGACAGCAGCTGATGCATAAGCTTTAAAGGCTTTCTATTCAATCGAGCAGCGCCGCAGGCTCCCAGCACCCGGCAAACCAGCACGCCCTGGATAAACAAGACTGGATCAGGGTTTCAAACCCCTCAACATTCTCAGCACTAATGATGACTACTAGTACACTTGTTATCATTCTCGGAATACCCTGATGAAGATGTTTCTTACCGTTGCCATTGCCTTCGTTTTCATTGGACCTAACTTGGTCATCAGGCATCTATATTTCAGACAGAATGCTTCTGCTCACTTGAAAGCGCATGCGATGCACTTTTGAGTCCCTTCTGCGGGCTCTTATGATAAGGAGTTAGACCCCACGGCTTGAGACACGCGAAAAGGCCATCGCAGATTTATAAGATCTTATAAGCATCCTTGGTCTTGAGAAAAACCATGCGGCCCAGTCCATAACCAAAGTGTAGAGCAAAGCGATTCACATCTTGTTAAACAAGCCCGCTAGCATGAGAGAAACAGCTTGCCACTTGGGACGTGGGTGCTGCGACCCTGAAAATTTTGCACATTTCAGTCGTCAGACAGATTGTGCGTATCTTTAATTTGTACACAAAGACCAGATGCAACTCTCCTCATCTCTCCTCCACCATTTGTGAGTAGCTGCGGCTGTGTTTAGCAGAGAAGCCGTGCGAGAGTTTTTTGCCAGCAAGAGTCCTTAAGGGTACTCTCCAAAGTAATTGCTCCAAAGCGCCATGCCAACTTGAGTCTTGAGTATCAGCGCGTCTGTATGCCAGCTCTTCAATGCTAAGAGCCTGATTCTGCGCCTGAGCCGTCCCTGACAGTACTGCAAACCAACTAGGAATCCATGTATGCAACTCCTGCATGACGCCGGTGTAATCCATAATCAAATGGGATGGCTCCCCAAAACCGAAAGGCTCCAGCTAAGCCAAGCCCAGGAAATTCACTGTTGACATGATACCCTCTGATCCCTTTGCAGGGTAGCTCTAAACCCTGCACCACGGGCTCCTCGGGGCGCGCATGCTGCAGCCGCTCCAAAGGCCAGAGCGTGCCAAAGGGTAGCGGCAGGCGATTCCTCGTCAGGATTTAGAATTTGGGATTAACGGACCCCGCCACCCTACCCTCAGGCTAGATTGCGTAAAGAGCCAGGGCGGAAATCCAAAGGACACTACAGTGAGCAGCAAAGTCGAAGTTGCGAGGCAGTAACTCAGTAGCACAAGTGGTGGTAGTGGTAGTGGCAGTAGCAGTGGCAGTTGTAGTAGTACCAGGAGAACTCGCAATGCCGAGACTAGCACAAGTACGAGCACTCGTCGTAGCAGTCGCCGTAGTAATACTGGTGCTAGCACTACTACTACTACTACTACTACTACTACAACTACTACTACTACTACTACGACGACGACGACTACTACTACTACTACTACGACTACTACTACTACTACTACTTCTTCTCCTGCCGCTGCTGCTACTACTACTACTACTACCACCACCACTACCACCACCACCGCCACCACCACCACCAGCCGTTTAGCACTAGCTGCAATCGCGGTATATCAGCAGCAAAAACAATCGTAAACACAATCCCAGCAAAGAGCCAATGCAACGAGGTTCAGACAGGTGCAAAATCTGATATCTAGGTATCGGCCATCCCTCTTGACAAAACTAACAAAGCCAAGGCTTTGTGCTTCATACGCCATAGAAACTGAAAAACAACTCTGGAAGCTGGCACTGAGACATTGAGAGTCGCTGAAGCAATCACAGAGCAATAGAGAAGCAAGGAACTTGTGAAATACTCCAGCATAACACGGGGCTGTTGACCTACACAACAAGCACAAGGTGCGGAGGATGCTTTCCATCAACAACAGTCATGGTAGACAGTCCCAAGCAAACATGGGATCTCCTGAAGGGCCTTGAAAGATTGCCCCCATGGGCAAGTGTCGAAGTTCTCGCTTCTCCACCCAAAGAGTAGTGTGCTGTCTTAGCCATCGTCTTATAGAGGGGTCTCCAAAACAACGTTGATAATTTGACAGCTACAATGAGTCTCCATGCTTGTGACGACCCCCAAACCGTAAACTCTAAACCCTAAAAGGAAAGCGGTTGAGGATACTTTCAGCCGCGATGCGGCAGCACCAGGTCGCGCGCAATGGTGGACTCCACCAGTGAAAGCAGCGCCTCACGGGCCTGAAAGCTTGAAGTCCACTTCGGTTTAGGGTTTAGGGTTTTAGGGGCTTGGGTATGGTTTTGGGAGCTCGGCTTTCAAGTTCTTCAAGGACCTTCATGACTGCAGGAAAGATCCGATGATAGACTTGGAATCTGTCTATAACTAGCTACATTAGAAAATAGACAGTGTTGATTGTATCTAGCACGGTATACGCTTTTTGGATTACTACTCTCCTGGCTTTGGCAAGCAGCATGCTCAACATCATGTTGGCAGTTACGATTTGCTTGGGGCTTGCCAGGCTTGTGCAGTTGAGGTAAGCAGTTGAGATTTCGATTGAAATCTGAAACGTCAAACCCTGAATGGCAACACCCCAAGTTTAAACATGTAAGAACCATGAGGGCAGAACGAGTAGCGTGAAAAACGACAATCGGAATGGTGGTGGTTCTACAGTTGAAGCTTTTGCTTGAGTTTTGCATGAGATGTGGCCATGATTGGACTTCGGTATCCACCGGCTGCCTGTCTTGCTAGGGGCATGCATGGGCAGATGTGCCGGTGCCTCATTGAGTTCAGCACTTGCAGCGCCGTTCTCACCCATTCCTAGCAAACCTCAATCCATCCGCTACCGGCCCCTATGCCAGCCCAGCCGCGCGCTCAGGCAAGAAAGGCAGGGATCCCGCAGGCGTACTGAGACTCAGGTCCACAGCCGGAGGATTCACGAAGCTGATGGTAAGGCCCTGGGTCAGCCTTGGCTGCCATGAGCCATGATAGGTAGGCAACAGAAATTTGGAGGGGTGCTCATTACGAGGGCAGTAGGGTATCCTGTAATATGCAGGCTAGGGCCAGGGAATGCCATGCCTCTCACACAATGCTTCTGACGCTTGAGAACTTGCACGGCATCCAGTCTAAATCCTGCGATCATTGCACTTTGAGGATTCTCATACTCCAACATCGTCAGGGTTACCCATGGGCTGCAGAGAAATATAAAAGCATCAATGCAATTGGCGATCGTGCCGCTCAATCCGCTGCCCTTTTGAATGCGAGATGCCCTGCAAAGTGCCAAGATGATTGACAAAGGGTTCATCATGTGATGTGGGACATTAATCAAAGTCAGGCGCCCCCAGGTACCACCAAACATGTTATCATGCTTCCTGCCATGCGCGGACGCACGAGCTTGAAAGGAGTTTACTGCCTATGGCTGCCTTTGAACCCCTAGAAACGCCCTGCGCGCTCCACATTACAAAAAAACATCAAGCCCCTCAATAATAGTACCATCTTCACCATTAGGACCTCTCAAAAAGAACCAATCATGTTCAGAAAATCTCATACTCTTGCGACAGCCATGGCACGGAAGGTGCGGCGTCAGGTGTCGAAAGGACATAAGGACCGAGCCTCGAAGAGACAGCCCGTTCACCTTGGTGTACTTGCGTTGGTGGTAGTCCGGGTAGTGGCAGTGGGAAGTAGCAGTAGTAGTAGTAGTAGTAGTAGTAGTGGCGGTACAGTGCTGGAAGTGCTCGCAATAACAAGGCACGCATATTGAAAACGAGTAAACGAGGGACGAAATAGGAGTTCTAGCTTGTGGTTTTGAGGGATATCTTCACCACTAGAAACATGATGGCGTTGACAAGACGGCGACCCCTACCACTAGCATTAGGTACTGCTACATACCTGGTACTTGAAACATCTTGAAACAAAGGTATGCAAAGTAGATGCAAATGACTGTAGTCCCCCTAGACATATAATCGAAATCACTATTTTTGAAAATTCCGTAGGGTTATGCTATAACAAAATGGAACGATAATTCCTAAGGAGACTACAGATCGCAGCCAAGTTACGCTGACCGACAAGCCCATCAGTCTGCCAAGGTTTAGACTCAGGGTGAGATCGACATCCTGAAGCTCTGCAAATAACATAACTTACTGGAGGCTTGTAGGGAATAAGGGAATGTAATCACTGTGTAATCCCTATGGAATATATTCCCTTACTCCCCACGTGACTAACCCCCAGTAAGATAAGAATGTGACTGTTTTCTGATTGTACTATGTGAGCAATACCCTGCCAGTACTCATCAATACGCGTCATCAGCAGATCTGAGGCCGGGTTAAAAAAGCACGGTCCTTGCCAGAGAACTCGACCTCGGCAGCAATGGTAATGGCCCGCTCGGTGGTGGTTGCCGGAACCATCGACAGAGAAAGCACCTTCGGAGGTTCTGGACCCAAACAGATCCGATCGAACTTCAAGGCTGCCGTGACGTTCTCCTGAAGCAGGTGCTGGACTTCGCCCTTCACGACATCATCTTCCAGCATCCCGCGGAGGCTTGGCCACAGTTCGGCCAGGAGGCAATTCATGAAGGCTGGGTCCTGAGCCTCTTCAGAGACGGAGGGTTGCAGAAGCCGAGCACTCAACCGACGCAAGCCTCCCACCAGCGCGCTGCCGCGCAGTCGCGGATCATTGAGAAGCCGGTTCGGCCGGCCTGCGCGAAGGTCGCGGAGACCTGCATAGCCCTCAGCCCACTCGGAGAGGGGCGGCCGCCTGCGCTGTTGGGGGAAGCTGCCACACACCAATGCCGCTAAGAAGTTGGCCCAGGCCGCAGTGAGCCAGCGAGACTTCGCGGCAAAGAGCCAGTTTGCCGTAGCATCTGCAACGAAGGCACAGAGTGCCAGAGACAGGGCCACGGGTCTCCACGCAATCTTTGCGTGACCCTTCGCCGGAGATCCCAGGCAGCAGCGGACCACGCAGGCCAGCTCCTCACATCGTTCTCTTGTTGCGCTTCCCTACAAGCATCCTTGCTCTGTTATCCCGGCCTGCGCGAAGCAGGTGAACAGCAGGTGGAGCAGCAGGCCGCGGCCAACAGCCGTTGCAGACAGCGTCCTTGGGCTGAGGCGAGGAAAAGCTTGGTGCGCAAGACGCGGAATACGTAGAGTCTGTTGCACGCCAGAATCTTAGGGTCCCAGAGGGCCAATTGATGGATACCAGCCTATCTTCCATACCTGGAGTTTGCCAGCTGTCATCTGAGTTCTTTGCCCACCTGGCAGGAAAATCCTATGAAGCTACTTTAACCTTAGCATCAGCACCTGATGCATGATGAGGACTGGCCACAGGTCAAACTGTCAAGCCAGAGAAATTCATGCTGGGTCTCGCAGATGCATGATGACATGGGCACGGGAACCCGTTCAAAGCCCTGAAAACTGCCAAATCCGCAAAAACTCAAGCAAAATGATGAAGTATTCAATCCCGCGCCCGCCCTTTCGCAGCTGGGCTACAGTCCTAAGCTCTTCTAGACCTCAGGGCATAAAATTCCATGCAACCCTTTTTGAAGGAATATTCCCCTTCGAGGCCAAAGCGCTCGTCTGTCAGATGGGCCCACTGGCCTTCACCCTCCTCACCTTCCGCTGGGACGCGTCCTCCAAAGTCTGGCTTGGCAGGTCTATCTTCGGGTCTTCATCTTCTTGGCCTGCTGCCCCCGCCCCTCCTCCTTGTTTTGCGCACTCCCCTCTCCTTTTTGCATCTCCTCCTCTTCCTGTATGACCACCTCTTCACACCGTCTTCTAATCTGTGCTACCAGCAACAGTATCATCCCTACCTCATTTTGCCGATGCCGCATCGGGTTTCTAGTATAGGTATCAAGATGTTCGACAGGGACTTTTGAGCATGATTCTGCTTACTCTTCTCTTTGCCAGCGTGCTTGCTGCCATCCTCACCCTTCTGAGTCATGTTACTCATCTCTTTAAGTTAGTTTCCTTACACAACCCCACCACCCGAAAAGCACACACCGCACAAAGTGTGTATTCTTCGACCCTCCAAGAACGGGGCCCTGCAAGGACTGATATCTACTCAACAGAAGGCTAGATGGGGCTTCACACTATCTTGAGGATCTTGTTCGGAAAGCCCTAAACCCCTTGTTGCAATCCTGGCCTGGGTGTAACAAGCTGAAGCCCACACCAAGCGCCGCGAAACTCCACCTCAAGCTTCGAGCTTCACCTCAGAACCACTTGTTTGAGTGGCTACCCTATTCCATATATATATATATATGTTGGGGTTATATTGGGATACTGGAAAATAGAATGGACACAAACTAGAGGGACTATAGGGGTTATACAGGTGTATAATATTGGGGTTAGGATAGTGGAAAAGAAAATGGAAGCTATTATAGGATATTGGGGTGATATGGGATAATGGAAAATAAGATGGAAACTACCATAATTTCTCAAGGAAACAAGGAAAGTTTGGGGCTTTCGGGGTTAACGTAAGGTTTAGAGATTTAGGTTTCAGTCTGGGGGGTCGTGGTGCACGGCTTGTTTCCTAAGGGTGCTGAATGTGGAAGGAGAGGACGGAAGCGTATAGCAGTCAAAGGATCCTCTACCCAACACAAACCTATTTTATTGTGCAGAGAGTAGAAGGGAATTATGGAGGTCCCTATGAGAGATTACACAACACTCATTTGAGACCCGTCTCTCCAGTCAGCAGCATAGCCAGCTGCTGCCAGGAGCCCCGGCAGCGTGGCGAGCGAGAGCCTTCCACATGTGATGCTTGAGGCCTTGAGGGTTCGCTGTTTAGGGCTCGGAGCGTAGCGTTTTGGGGCATCCTGTTTGAAGGTCTTAGGGTATCGGCTCTGAGGTTGGAGTTTGAAGGGATTTGAGGCTTGGTTCAGGACAAAATTAAACTGTAGAGGGGAGAAGCGCGGACAAAAAGTGCATGTTTGTCCCTTCACTGCCTCTGATACAACACATGTTCAATTTGAGGCTTCTCCCGTCCGCCACACATGTCTGCGAGCAACGCCAAGCAGAATGATGGTGCTGGACAGTACTGGATTCCCACCATTCCCTACCTAAACATGAAAAGCTATGAATACCAGTAGCACTGGCATCGGCAACAATGGCAGAAGCATCAGCCGTAGAAGCGGCAGTTGATACTTACAACATTCAGATCTACAGCAAGAACCAGCCTCAGTGTGATCATCCTTCTGACGCTGGCCGTATCCCTGAACTCTGAGACCCTGAACTCTGAAACGCTCCATCCCCAAATCAAAGACCCCTAATGCCATGAACGCAAAAGTCAGCCACGTCACAACAGCACGATGGCCAACTGTGGTGGGTCCCCAGTTGACAGCGTCAAGGCTTCCAGGCCTTTCGGGCTTGGTGCAAGGATTGTGAAGGAGGCCGTGGAGATTTTTGTGGTGTCTCCAAAACCTGAATCACCCTAGAGGATTGTAAGGAGCTAAGGGAACTCCTTATGAGGGACTATAACCCAACAAGAGCTCATACCTGGAGTCTATCGGAAATAATGGCACGGGTTTGGGCATTCGTGTAGGAAATGCTCTCCCTTCGCATCCCCAAAAAGGCCCTCTCAAACTTGACACTCTGGATCCTTTCAAAAGTCTGACCACGCGCACACATGCTCAAACCCACTGCTAAATCGCACATGCCTCTGGAAGCGGCTTTTGCTCTCAAGTGCAAGCCTGTCACAAGTGTCCCTTGTATACTGGCAACAACTGGCAACAACGAAACCTTTTGGGGGGTGGTACTGGATAGCCACATCGGAGCCTCCGAGATGCCGTCCGCCCACACCCAACGCAGCGGCCATGAGACATGCAGCCAGAAACCAAGGTTCCTTGACTTTGAGGCTAGTTCAAGGTGGAGAATGGTATGGCTGGGTGTTTCTAGCCCATCCGGTAAATCTGCCCGTGCTGGGGAGTTGGTGTACATACTCACGCAAATGATCCTCAGCGTACTGATTGCTAGTGCTCACCGCTATTCAGGGCGTTCCAGGACAACATGTTAAGCTCCGTGTCAGCTTACGCCAACAAAAGATGCGACAAGCAGCAAATTTTGAACGACACCTGAAGGAGTTGACAAAGGATCCGCTTCCTTTCCCCAAACATGAAAATTGATGGTCCACAACGTACCCCAAACATGAATGTTCTGCATGTACGAGGTTGAGTCCCATACTGGAACCCTCAGCTTGATCTCAACAATGAAGCCGAATGGTAAGACTGTCACGCCTCGTCAGCTCGAAACTCTCCGAACCATGTTACGGCAGCTGAGCTTGTGCGCGCCCCTCTTTGTATTGCGTTCCTACCTATTCTTACGACTGAAACTCTCGCGACAAAAAATCCTCCTCCTTCTTCTGCTGCACAGGAATCCTTTAAACCTCCCCTGCAACTTAATGAAGGATCATAATCAGAACTCCTGATTTTTCAAAACAACCTAGACCCAGACCCCAAACCCTCAGCTGCTTGAGCTCTGAACCCGAAACCTTGCCCACGGGCCCACAGTTGCCCTTTCATCAACATGGCTCCTGTGCTGCTTGCTGGACTTGTTGAAGGCACCTCCTCAACTCCTGCATCATCGTGGCCTCCAAGGGTTCCCCAAAATGTCGGCTAGGATCCTATGAAGTATAAACACGTATAAACGGACGAGGGACCGTGTCTAATTTGCATGTAAGGATACCAGCTGGAAGCCCAGCTTAGTCACCACTTGTGCTGTCGACTGCACGATTCAGGTTGAGCTTCCTTCGGGTCGGAACCTTGCTATGCGGATGCTAACTCTAGTATCTCCAACACTTTCAGAGACCTCAAAGGCATACCTAAAGTCTCGAAATTTCCAGTATGCCGCCTGCTCTGCAAGGCTGTCGACCTGTTTGCTGACATCTTCGGAGCCTCCCAGAAGCCTCACCCAAGCACCGGTGGCAACAGCGTCTGAAGAAACTCCGGAAATTCGATGTAGATTGGAGGGGCGTGATAAGCACTGTTGCTGTCGATGGAAAACTTGGTAATGTCTTTGAAGCTCACTCAGGCTCCTGCACTACGGGTTATCTTACCGTTGACCATTATAGGCTTATCTTGCTATTGCAATGCATCCAATCTGAACTAGTGAAAGCAGCATCGGAAAGCGTACGGGGCTATGCGGCCCGTCCTTATGGAGGCCCTGTCCGAAATTGCTACAAGAATCAACCTCACATACCAGGGTTCAAAGAATTAATGGTGCCTTAGAGGGAGTCGGGGAATGTATACAGGCACTTTCAGGGGGATTATATGAAGACCCTGCCCTCCCATAAGCCTTCTAAGAAGACCGTTGATGGACATTCGGCATTAATTGAGACTTATATGCGTGGTTCCCAGAATCAGGGTCCCATTTTGGTACCCTAAATATTTGGTGCTGTACCGCAATACAGTCTAGAACCAAAAGGCAGATGATTTTGAGAAGAGCCCGTATCTTGAGGTGCTCCCGAGGAGGGTTTTTTTGGCACTTTGCAGACGGCAACGAGAAATACCCAGCTTTCAAAGCCAGCATTACTCCTTTCCACCCCAAAGTGGCAGGCCCTGAATTACAAATCTAGCTTCCGACTGATGCTTATGCGCCCCAAGACACCATGCATCAAACCGGAAGCACTGCAGATTTTAAATATAGTACCATCCCCAAAGCGAACACTTGGGCTGACCCTTCTGGCCACAAGACGCAGACCTAACTTCTAGGTGGCTCTTCTACTAGAGATATAGGGATATATATATATATACCTCTGTAAGGATATATACCTCAAGGGTTTTGGGGGTGTATCCGGGGAGGGGGGGGGGACACTAGAACATAGAAGGTTTAGGGTCTATGGCTTGAAAGCCGGGAAGGTCGTCATTTGCTGCAAGCTTCAGGGGTGATGGTTCTGGATTAAGCACATCCTGATATATCCCCATGCAGACCTGTATCCTTTACATTTCTATATGTATCCCTGTTTTACGATGTGTATATATATATACACACAAGAAACCTGGGATGAAACATTGGGACACTGCAAAGCTTTGAATCACTGAGAACTGGGACATTTTCAAAGAAAGCGTCACAAAGACCTTTCCGAAACAGAAGCAGACAGTGTCATCA